TTGCCTCTCGCGCAGTGAGATAAGGTGGCTAACTGGAGCTCAACGTCATAGTATTGCTGTCTATGCTCAACGTAGCGAACATTCCAGATTACAGATCAGTTTTTGGTGAATTGAAAAAAAAAAAACCCGTTTTTGGTGAATAAAGTGGAGCAGACTTGCTTCATGTCAGATGACTGAAAACGTTGAAGTATCGTTTCTGCTTCAGCGGTTTAAGCAGAGAGGTAATGAAATACAACAGACACTGACAGGCCTCTGCGTCTGCCTTTCTCTGAAGAACTACTGAGGGGGAGGAGACAGCCAGGTGAGGAAAAACTGTTCTTATCTATCGATTCAGTATTTTTATCATACAGACATTAGGCTGCTGTTGGTGTGCTATTAGCTAGCTGCTAGCTAACGACTTTGCTAGCAAAGCTAGATAACTGAAAAGCTTCTTCCCTGTGTACCAGGCACATCGCCCGTCCAAAACTTATCATCTCCGTCATAGATAAATGTCTGATCTTCTAATTTCCTTTGCTGCATAATGTACATTGCATTTATTCTAGCTTTAGGTAAACATGTCTTGAAAGAGAATAGCACTTAAATAATAGTCCAACAAGGATATTCATTTAGAATTAAAAATAACACACCCTGAATTACCATGATAGATATGTGTGTCATTAATGAAGGAGGAAAAAAAACTCAACCCAGACTTTAAGTTTAGGGTCTGGTTCGCAGAGTATGAAGTTACATTTGTTTCCCAATTATTCAATGAAAAAAAAAAAACTAACCTCAGTTAAGTAAAATAAAATTGCAATCAAAACTTTTGGAATTGTAATGATTCCTTTAAAAAAAGTTGTTTAAAAGACTTTTTGTTAAATAACTCATTTTTACCAAACAAACATTTATTTGCACACATCAGAAATCTTTTGTTGTGATTTTAGGCCCTGCCCACGATATCATGTGAGAATCACAAACAAAAACTTAGAATAGTAAGAAAAGATTTGTGACAAGCGCAAAAAAGTTTGTTTTGCAAAAAAGAAAGTTAACTTCATGAGTCAAAAATGTGTGATTTAAATTTTTTTTTAAAAATTAAGCAAACCCAATTAGGTTTTTCTTGGGGACTTGCTTTAACAATTAAATTTTTTTTTTTTTTCCTTTTTCTGCAGTTCCACCTTAAAGTTTGAAACAGCTCTGCGTTCCTGAATGAACCATCTTCATCTCCACTGCAGCAAACAGGCAGCTCTTTT